TTGCGGATTTTCTGATATTCTCCATACTGCAAAAATGATTTTACCAGCACTGGCGGGGCGACATCTTTCGACTTTTCGGTGTAACTACCACACAAATGATGTAATTAATTGTATTCATCTATATTAAAAATATCAAATAGTAATGAACTTGTGCACTTTTTTGCATTTAAAACTGCTTATCAGGAAGATAATGAATAGAAACTAAAATCTCCATACATTTTCAAACGGCTTCATATCACTCTTATAAATAAGTACGGACGATATCACAAATGGCGCAATTATATCCCGTATGGTTAGCACGATAGCCCGAATAGGTGGTTAAGCACTTTTTATGGTTATTTTGTATGCACTGTATTTGTAAAACAACAAAACATGATTAATTAAGAAAAAAAATCGTCAATACAGAAAATACAGATTTTTTAATAGAGTGGATACAGATTTTTTATAAAACCACCTGGCAGCTCTGATGCACAGGGAAGTCAAAAAAAATCCTAGACTGAACCGGAATCAAACACAGCCACCTCCAGCCGACCTATACCCTTTACCGATTGAACTAAAGGAAATTACTACGTGTTACAATCAAAAATACAAACCATGCGCCACCATTCGTTCAATTCAAAAATCTATTATAATAAAACACTAACAGTATAGGGGCGCAGAAGTATTGCGAAAGATTTTCGATCACACAATCCCAAGGGATCGGGATTCCTATTCAGTTCAGTAATACTTCTCAAAGGCATTCCCCAAATAACTGGTTGATAGAACGCGGTACGTTATTCGGTTACTTCACCGTGAATAAGGTTACCGTGACAAGCATTCGTGAAATTTTGCGCCATACAACTCATCTTCATCATCTCCATTATAATCGTTTACCAACTGCAACGAACCGAATCGCGGGAAATTTTCGGGAGCTTCCTCCTTTATTTTGAATTGAAAGTCAATGGAAGACAAATTGCTTCCCTGCCGTCTTTTACCTACGAAGCGAATCCTTTCAATTTCGCCTATTATCACGATTGGCGGGGAGAGGTAGAAGGAAAGCACAAGATGGGAGTTGGACAGATGATAGACTGTGTATTGAATGGTGAGGGAGGTCTCCTGGTTTTATTGTCGAAAGAAAATGGCTTTTTTCATCACCCGGGCAAAGTTTACCACGGCTGGGTGTTGCGAAACAGAACAGAAAATTTAGTACTCCTTGATTCTTGGTCGGTGAGTCCCCTCTTTAGAGAATGTTTGCCTTGTTCTGTTTTGTATAGGAAAACGAATGGGGTTTCTATTGTTGAAGATGAATTAAATTTGGCCCTTTGAATAGAACTCTTTCTCGCAATTTCTTCGGAGGCTCGGTGCGAAAAGTTTTCCACTCGCGGAATGCGTGGAATTTTCTTCCAACGGAGATAATTTGAATGAAGATAGAGGTTTATAAATTTCTTAAGTACTTATTCTTCGTTGGAAAGGGAGGGGGAGTTTCGCGACATGATTGTGTTTGAAGTTGGTTGGGTTTAAATTGAAGAATGAAATGGTGTGTTTTATAATTCTTTTAAGTTTGAGAAAAGGGCTTAGAGATGATTTTCCTATTGTTCAAATTTAATTTAAAAAAAAAAAAAAAAAAAACGTTGGAGGCGAACCAGCCTAAGGGTGAAAGTAATAATAATAAGCTAAATAATAATAATAATAATTTAATTTAAAATATTTTTACATACGATACAGTCAAATATACACTAAGAAAATTCGACACATATTTATTGGCGAATTTCCATGTAAAATTCCACATGAGTTTCATGTGTCGGGGTATCATCCAAACCATTTATGGGATAGTTTACCCATCCGGGATATAATTTGTTTATGGTATTTGTTTATTAGAGTTTGTTTATCGCATTGCAAAAATTCATGTGTGGGACACAATCAAATAATCATTGAATTTTTATTAGTGTAGAATCAAAAGATAACCAGATTGAAACCAAATCATTATTATCGAGCTGGGTTGATTGTACAGGGTAATTCGGAATAACTGTCACTTTTTAAAATGGTCATAACTTTTGAACGCTTGCAAGATTTTTTGATATCAGTATATTCCAGATATACTACATATATAACCTTCAACTTAGCATACTTTAATTCAAATATCTCTCCCTTTATCTTTAATAACCAGCCACACTTGTCACAAAAATGAACCACAGCTGGCATGCACGTTTTAGCTTCAGCACTTTTGGAGTCCTGGCGATGTGTCTAATAGTACGTTAAACGCTGTACATACTGGAGAGTTATAACATGTTATAACGGTTGTCAAATAATTACAACACAGAAACCACCATGCAATTAGTTGACAACCATTATAACATGTTATAACTCTTCAGTCTGGACAGCGTTTAAGCTCTTATATTGAACGAATTTCCCTCGCATGGTTGCTTTTTACCTCTATAATGCGAAAACAAATATTTCATTTTTCGAAGAGATTTCAGTTTCAACGATAACACACGAATTTATACAAATCTATCACATGCTCTATTTTCACGTCCATGGCTGCTTGAAATCGAAAACGAATGAAATTTCAAATATTACTATCAATACAAGCTGATATTTGTACACAAAAATACCCATTTTACCTATTGAGAATTGCATATTTGTGAAATCGGTGACAGTTATTACATAGAGGTAACTCTAAGACCAGAAGGTCCCGAAGAAACGAGCTCAACTTTTTGGCTCAGCTCTGGTACTATCTTCGGTCCCAAGCTAATCGATGAACCTCTCGAAACATAGGAAAATCCACGAACCCTTCATTTTATCTGTCAAACTTTCATAGCGAATCAAAACAAACATAGTGTAGTACTGGAATTTATACAAGAATGGGGTACGTTAATCGATTTGCTTGGGACCAATAGGCTAGTCAATTAGTGAGCCAATTTAAAATCGTTAGTTTCGTATTGATTGTTGGTTATTCTGAATCACCCAGTATAATCGGAGCGAATCAATGTGGTACCATAGAGGCAACTCTAAGACCAGAGGGTCCGAAACAAACGTGCTCAACTTTTTGGCTCAGCTCTGGTATTCTCTTCGGTTCCAAGCTAATCGATGCACCCCTCGAAACATAAAAAAATCCCTGAACTCCTCATTTTATCTGCCAAACTTTCATAGTGAATCAAAACAAACATAATGTAGTACTAGAATTTAGACTAGAATTTGGTACGCTAATCGATTTGCTTGAGACCAATAGGCTAGTCAAGTACACTGAAACAAAATCCATTGGCAAAAATACTCTATTGCTGGTTTAAATTAAATACCCTCACCAATAGATTTTTGCAGAAAACAATTTCATTTAATCTTGCTATTATTTCTATCAAAATAACTTTGCATTTTGAGCAAGCATAGTAGTTTTGCCAGAATCATAGTAAATTTGTTAAAATTTATAGTCAACTATATTGAATACATAGTAGATTCAACGGTAATAAGCGTGATAATATTGAAAATAAGTGTTTTCTGCAAAATAGTATTCCAAACTATGGTCCTTGTTTCAGTGTAGTGAGCCAATTTAAATTGTTAGTTTCCACCGGTTGGTGGTAGGGTAGAGATCTACTTAGGCCTAATTGCTCATTTTGGGCCTATCGAGCAGAAAACTTCAAATAAGTATAAATAAGCCATCAGTAATAATATCATTCCGTTTGGTCCTGATGGCTTCCAAATTTATTTACCTTACTGTACGTACCGTAACAAGATTTGATAAAGAGAAACCAATCGTTGAGATATTGTCAAAAGTCTAACACTGCTTTTTGACGCCAAACTCAGCCTACGGATTCTAAACTCGGCCTAACGCATTGAAACGCCATTGAAACGCCAATGAATTCACTTCGGCCTATCGGACGATGATAAAAAAGTAATCGGTCGGAGCGCTTCTTTTGTGTTTAAGAATAATGGCCGCAAACCTTCATATCACGCGTTCTCATTGACTTCGTTTGGTAGCTTATTAACTAAAGTATCCTACCAAACACATAATTGACTTCCCAACAAACAATTTTAGCTGCAGTTTAGCTTATACAGGCAAAAATTAGCTGCATATGGCAAATTTTGGCTGTATAAGCTAATTTGCAGCTAAAATTGTTTGTTGGGTTGTTAACTCTGAAATCATGGATTTATTTAAAGTTTTCTGCTCGATAGGCCCAAAATGGGTGATTACGCCGAAGTAGTTCTCTACCCTGCCTGAAAATAAATATTCATGTCCAGAATTGAGTTGTTTGCCCTGGAACATCCTTGGAGATCTCGAACGAAGGGCTGTTTTTTTCCTACGCTTAAATCTTAAGCCAGCATACCCTACTAAAATTTATATGGTTATTTTGCTTAATGACGTGTTCACGGTATCATCCAAACCATTTGTGGAATAGTTCAATCAATTGGGTTATCGTTCGGGAATGGTATTTTTTATTAGGGAAGGTAAATACAATTTAAGGATTAGGCGCAGCTGAAGAAATGGGCCTTTTAGTATTTTCGTGAATAAAGGGTGAACTCTTCTCTCCAGTCATTGAATGGGACATCCTTCTTTTAGATGGTTTTTTTTTCTTTTTTTTACCATATTGTATGATTCTGATGCTGAAAGTAGATTCCCAACTATCCCGTAATGGAGCGTGATTGATTTTGCTTACCGCTCTACCATATCCGTTTTTCGGCCATTAAATAGCAGGTTCAGTATGATTATGGGCTATTAATATTGATCATGTATAACAGTGAGGACAACCCACAGCAATGAACTAGTAGTTTGCTACATCAACGAATGTTCCTTAACCTAAATTCATAATTGTAAAAATTTCAATACTTTTCCTCAATCCAATATACCATTTAATCTCTTAACCCTCCGCAGCGACAAACTACATCACAACGGCGATCATCCGTACTAAGAGCGTATGCCCTGTTGTAAAAATCAACGCATGCGCAACTGATTTTCGTCACATGCAACCTCGAAACTGTCAAACCGGCGTCTTGTTTTGACATATGTTTATGTTTTCACTTCTCAAGGTCGCAGACGTCGAACATTCGTTGCTCGCATCGCTAAAAATTGCAAATCATATCACTGAAAATTCAGTTTTACTCCTGAAGTATTGTAGCCATACAAGGGTGAAACATTTATTTCAATCGAATTTTGTTTCAATCATCCATTCGTTTCAGCCAGTCCGCAATGTCAGCCACGCTTTCGCCAAACTTTACATCGCACCTGTGCAGCGTGGAAGTGTGCGACGTACGGTACAACATTCGAATCCTGAAAATGAAGGATTCTGTGTTCATCTACATTGGAGAAAATAAGGCGGAAAATTTCGACGAACTATCGATGGCCATGCTGACGGCGCCCGGCAACGAGATGTTATCGACCACCATCATGGGTGATCCCGTGGGCTGTGGTTCGGAGGAGCTGGCGCAAAAGCTATCCAAGAAACTAAAGAAACAAGTCTACCTGAGTGCCAATGTACCGAACGATCGGATAGTGCGGCCGACGATTGAGCAGAAGCTGTTCGAGGAGATCAACAACAACCTGGAGTGTTTCTGATAATGCCGTTTGTCTGTATCGGAAGGAATTGATGGGAGCTAAATTGCTGACTGGAATAAGAAAACTCTCACAATCTTTATTATTATTAGCTCAGTCTTGCTTGGCAACTCAGTTTAGTGACATAGATAAGGCTTCGTATGATGATATTTTTGTAAGTTTTTGATGTACTGCTTAAATATAAGACTACCTAAGCGATACGTTTTTTTTTTTTGATTTGATAACACTAGTTTACAAATGAAAGTAAAAAAAGAACTTCAATGTTTGACCTATGATCTTTATGTAAAATAGTGCGTTGAATCCAAAAAGTGTAGTCTTAACAAATCTCAGTTGGATACGATATTTCACTTTAAAAAAAAGTTATTTTCTATACAAATATCTCCGGTTGTAATAAAGCTGTAACAATAATTTTGACGCCAAATTAGAGGTGAGAAAATTTGCTTTCGATCAAGTGGTCACTATTTTTTAGTTAGATTAGTGGTTTTGTAGTAAATTAATACTTTGTTTAATTTTCTGCATATTTCCAAAATAAATTGGATTTCAGCTAAGTTTTTAAGCAAGGTAAATATTTTTTGTAGTGGTTGTGTCAACAATACCACTAATCTAACTAAAACATAATGCATAGTTGATCGAATGTAAATTTTCTTACCTTTAATTTGGCGTTAAAATAATTGATATAGCTTAATTACAGCCGGACATATTTGTATTTTAGTAAACAAACTATTGTTTTAGTGAAATGTCATTTTTTAGCTGTATCTTGAAAACTATGCTACTAAGTTTTTCTGACTACATTTTTGGGTTTATCACACGATTTTACATGGGAAATGACCACCAGCGTACAAAGTTCACATATATACTGTAAACTAGTGCAATCATTTCTAGATAGAGCTGGAATTAGGGCCTAACAGCTTTTGCAAACAATGGCTTTTCTCGATGATTTCTAGGAATTCAAGGCGCTCCAACGCAAACCAACACATGCATCGGGTAGTGGAAGACTTAACCTGATGGTGATATTGATTTGCTTGGGCGAGCCTTGAGTTTCTAGAAATCATTGTTTACCAAAGCTGTTACACCCTAATTCCAGCTCTATCTAGATTTAATTCTAGTAAGCGGCGCCGGTGGTATAGTGGTAAGCGTGATTAACTCTCACCCCAGCAGGCCTGGGTTCAATCCCAGTTGGCGCCGCCGGGATGTTCTGAGGCATAACATCTCTGATCACGCCGGAAGTAAAGCCGTTGGTACCCGGTCGATAGTTAGGGTCCAGGTGTGGGAGCTACCTTCCTGGCGTCGGTAGTAGCACGGAAAACAAGATCGACGGAAAACAAATCAAGGAAAAATTTAAAAATAAATCATTCAAGCAAACAAATTTCTCTTAAACCCAATGTTAGGATGCATTTATTACATCCTCTGCATATGTTTCATGCAACAAATGTGAAATGGCTCTTTTGGAATGGAATGCAGCGTACGAGCAAGTTTTTCCAGAATGCATATTTATGTATAAGGGATGGTCCATTAATTATGTCACGCAAATTTAGCCCATTTTCAACCCCCCCTCCCCCCTTTGTCACATTTTTTGTATGAACCTTAATTTTTTTGTATGGCTCGTCACAGTTTTCAAACCCCTCCCCTTCCCCCTAAATGTGTGACATAATTAATGGACGACCCCTAAAACCATCACGTGATGATTTTCTAGACGCAACTCATTTGGGGAAACAAACTTTGTTCGAATTATAAACTAATAGCATAGAGGTAACTCTAAGACCAGAAGGTCCCGATGAAACGTGCTCAACTTTTTGGCTCAGCTCTGTTACTCTCTTCGGTCCCAAGCTAATCGATGCACCCCTCGAAACATAGGAAAATCCATGAACCCCTCATTTTATCTGTCAAACTTTCATACACGCAGAAAAAAACATAGTGCAATCAAACAAATTATGTTTCATGTTAAACAAAATTTTGAATAGAATATGGATCAATAAAACTGATAGATTAATTCAACAACAAAATTGAGTTGGGATAATACTATTAATTTCATTGAATTGAACATCGGCTTTTATTGATTTAAAAAAATGTTTGCTTGAATCAAATTGAAGCATTATTTAAAGTAATTGTCGTTTTTGTTGCATTGAAATGTTATTTTTATTATTTCAAAACCAAATTTAAATTCCCAGGTCAGATTAACTGTCATTATGAAAAATAAACCCACATTTTTCAATTATGGTTTCAATTAAGTTACCAACTAAGCCACTGTTTTTTATTAATTTATTTGGTGCGTGAATGGCTGGAAGATCATGTTTCCCTTGTGCGCCTTTCTGTACACCATGGTGTAGATTCTAATGTTATTGTTGGTGGAGGAGGAATTCCTGAAATGATAGAATATTAGAAAATGCCAAGGAAAATGATCATTTTACTTTTCTGCTTTTTTATTAACAATGTTATGATGTCGATACAGACTGACAGTTTGAAACGTGCATTACACACACAATCATAAAAAAAGATTTTTAAAAAATTGTGTTGGTTTGATTTAAATGGGCTTCTTTATTGATTTGAAACTTCATTATGAACTGAAACAAATAGAAATTTCGTATTAAATAATAACAAAATATTTTATTGGTTTACGCCTCAGTGTTTTTTCTGCGTCGAAATTCTAGTACTACGCAATGTTTGTTTTGATTCGCTATGAAAGTTTGACAGATAAAATGAGGGGTTATTGGTTTTTCCTATGTTTCGAGGGGTGAATCGATTAGCTTAGGACCGAAGAGAGTACCAGAGCTGAGCAAAAAGTTGAGCTCGTTTCTTCGGGACCTACTAGTCTTAGAGTTACCTCTATGGTTACTCTCTTCGGTCCCAAGCTAATCGATTTACCCCTCGAAACATAGGAAAATCCACTAACCTCTAATTTTTTCTGTCAAACTTCCATAGCGAATCAAAACAAACATAGTATAATACTAGAATTTTGACTAGAATGGGGTGAGTTAATCCATTTGCTTGGGACCAATAGACTAGTCAAGTAGTGAGCCAACTTAAAATCGTTAGTTTCGTATTGATTGTTGATATATCTCTGGCGTATCGATATAAAATTCTGCCTGAGCTAAGATCATCTCCGAGAGTCAACACAATTTCATGAACAACCGCTCAACTAAAACTAACTTGATGGAACCATAGAGCGAGGTAACTCAAAGACTAGAAGGTCTCGAAGAAACGTGTTCAACTTTTTGGCTCAGCTCTGTACTACATATCTTCGGTCCCAAGAAAATCGATACACCCCTCGAAACATAGGAAAATCCACGAACCCCTCATTTTATCTGTCAAACATTCATAGCGAATCAAAACAAACATTGCGTAGTTCTAGAATTTCGATTTCCTTGGGACCAATTGATGAATTTACGTTACGGTCGACCGGCAGATGGAAATGATGAGAAAATGATAATGACGTTATGCTACCTGTCTACACGTATGGAATATTTTTTAGAACATCATCACTTTTGTGGTTTTGGATTTCAAACCTAGGTGTCGCATGCACAACCGATGGAATCCAACGAAAATCGTTAGTTTCGCGAAGGTTTATACATCTAATTGGCGAATCAACGCAAAGCCAAAACTGATCATGTGACACCTACACAGTTCGAAAAAGGAGTGTAAATTTCTGTTCAATATGATGCACATAAATGGAGCGTCACATATCATATACGTTTACATTATATATCATGTAAAGCTCTGACACATTTCAAGCAATGTAGCAAATATTGTATACAAAAGTCCATCTTTGTAAACAACATTGTTTGCAAGTTGCTCGGTTGCGTGAAATGAAACATAAGTCTCCGTGAATGAATGTTTACATCACAATTAAAATTCAGAATTTTTATCTGTGTAGTTTTCTGATCCGCAATAACAAAAATGGTGATGTACTAAAAAAAATCATGCTATTTGACAAAAACGTCATTACCATTTTCACCCACTCGCCATCTGTGAGTCAATCATCTTTTATATTCTTCAATAGTATAAACTGCAAGTCTACACAGCAAAAAAAATGTAATATCGATCAATGTATTTCAAGCTGATGTATGAAATAATGATGTAACAGCAAAAAGCAGATACAATATTACATCAATGGATGTAATTTTGTTCGCAAAATCGATGTCGATCGTACAACGTTATATTACACAACCGATGGATTGACCTGGTTGCAGCAGTATGGATGTAATATTCAGCAACTTTTTTCTATGTAGATAGAGCTGGAATTAGGGCGTAACAGCGTTTGTAAACAATGACTTCTCTTGTTGATTTCTCGGAATTCAAGGCACGCCTACACAAACCAACATATCCATCGGGTGGGAGAAGTCTTCCTGTACTCGATGATGATGTCGATTTGCCAGGTAGAGCCATGACTTCCAAGAAATTATCGAGAGAAGTCATAGTTTACAAAAGCTGTTACGCCCTAATTTCAGCTTTATCTAGAAGTATGCGAATAGTGTACACTCAAAAAATTCTACACGTTAATACCAACAATCAATACGAAACTAACGATTTCAAATTGGCTCACCACTTTAGTAGCCTATTGGTCCCAAGCAAACGATTAACGTACCCTATTCTAGTTGAAATTCTATTACTACTCTATGTTTGTTTTGATTCGCTATGAAAGTTTGACAGATAACATCAGGGGTGTGTGGATTCATGCAGAACATGCAGGGGTGAGTGAAATAGCTTGGGACTGCTTGGAACCGTTGTTCTGGTACTGAGTGAGCCAAAAATAATAATGATTTTCTTCTGGACCCAGTGGTCTTAGAGTTACCTCTATGTTAATACTACGTGAAAAAATATGTGGATTTTTTCCATCGCAATTTTCACGTAACACTTACGTGACTTGCATGTAGTGAAGAACGCTTCCATTCTCAATTTTCACATGGGAGTTTCACGTACAAGCTACGTGAATTTTTAGTATTAACAACGACATATTTCAGTAGATTTTAAATGGAATATATAGTGTCGCTTTATTTAGCATATGCCTAGGCAAATGCATTAGCGCTGTACCACACTTTTCTTTTTATTAATAATTAAAAACAAATATAAAATTAACAATATTTATTTTTGATCAATTCAGAAACATAAATCATATTTAGAATAAAGTATTTTAAGGCTATACCAGCTGTTTATCTCTTTTTGTAGCACTGGAGATTAGCTAAATATT